TGTTTATATAGACTTTATGCATCAATTTTAAAAGTTCTATCGAATCTTAAAGTTATGCAACAATAAACTGAAACACCCTGTATACTGAGTGACAAATAAAGGTGTTTGTTAGAATTTAAGAATTTTTTCATATTGATTTATCTTGCCATGAACAACAAGTGATAAAATGATCAGGTTTTTCTGTTAAGTTTTTGTGGTGGCTGCGTCTATTGTTTGGTGATAAAGAGGCAGTCAGTTTTCGTACATTTACAGTGTCAGTTAAATGTTAAAGTTCGTGTATAGTAGCTTATTGAAAAGCCTTTTTGTGACTGCTCAAAATGCCTAGAGTGCCTAGAGTTCGCTGGGTGTCTCAGCTAACTGATTTTGAGAGGGGTCGTATTTTCGGGTTGTGTGAAGTTTCTAGAAGGACCAACAGATCCTTATGCAGTATACTGCAGTGTGAACGAGCGTGGACTCAGGAACGCCGAGGACCGTGAGCGAGTCCATACGACAGTTTGACCTTTTTCCTAAACACCCACATTGGGTGCTACCTCTCACAGCTGAACATCGGCGTAACCGTTTATCAGGTGGTCTTTAGGGACAAATCCTGTCTGGGGATGAACGCTGGTCGGGCAGACCCACAATTTGACGGAGAGCGTCACGTTCACCACACCGTGGCAGTTATGGTATGGAGTGCTATTGCTTATTGTAGCAGATCACCACTAATTTTCACCAGAGGCAATATGACAGGCAGACGCTATATTGAGGAAGTAGTGGAGCCTCATCTTATTCCATATCTAAACACCATCCAAAACCCGATTTTCAGGAAGACAATGCCAGACCGCATGTTGCCAGAGCATCGTTAGCCTTCATGAATCAACATCGCATCAACCGTTTACGTTGGCCACCACGATCGCTTGACCTATCTCCAATTGAACATGTCTGGGACATGTTGGGTCGCAGGCTCTTGAATTTGAAACACCCTCCACAAACTTCAGCAGCTCTTATTCACGAAGTTGCAGTAGCCTGGAATGAGATACCCCAACAGGATATCGACCACCTTATCAGCACGATGCCCAAGCGTGTCAATGAGTGTATAAGAAATCGTGGATCCTCAACTCATGATTGGACCAACCCTTAAGATCATTTAAAGACCATATCAATGTTCAAGTAAAAGCGAACCAGTTTACAGTCAAGGTCACTGTCATATACTTGACCGCCAGCTTGATTGTGATCTTTAAGGTAATTTGAATTTTTTAACGGGAAACTACGATTCTTGCTTTCAGAACAGTAATTTCACGTCCCGAATCGTCGATCAACGCAAAACCGCAAAAGGTCGTCATCAATGTAACGTTCAATTTTAATAATGTTATAATAATAATTCAAATACATTATAATAATAATTGTATCAGGTAAAGAAAGATCAAGTCGTTCCATAGTTCAGAGTTCGTTTGTATAAAATCAAAAATCCATTACACTCCAGGCTGCCACAGTTATCGACCTAAAAAAAGTAGCATTGTAGTAACGGTTTACACGAGTCTAATTTTTTAACTAAAAACCGCTTAGTAATGGAGACAGAGAGGTCTTATTTATGAATGTAAATTATATCACAAACTAAAATTGGACATATTTTCATATCTTAACATAATACAACATAATTTTTGCGAAAGCTTATGCTTTTTGGAATAGGTTTCAGAAGTGTCATTTTCTGATAAACTTGACTTATCGGGTAAGGCGTCAGTGAATCAGAGGAAAAATAAATAAGAGGTTCAAGCTGACGAATCAAGCTAAAAAATTTAATCATTTTACTAGTATAGGACACTGAACATATATGCCAAAAATTATTAAAATCGGATAAACATACGTTGGTGTTTACCTTTTTCTGTAACTCACTATATTTAAAGATGTTTCAAAATGACGCCTAGCCACCATCTTGATGCCGTCAGCTTCCAATTATACGCTAAAATGTAGTATTTATGCTTCAATTCCATTAAACAGAGTTTGCTAAGCTGACTCCGTTCAAGAAACTTTTTTCAAAAAGAACTGTATAAGTTCTGCATTTAACTACGAAACAAGAAACAGATAAATACTACATTACAACAACTGTAAATGATAATTCTGTCACCAGTTGAAGTTGACACCAAATTCCAACTTTTTCAATTATACAAACAATAAAAGCCAGCTTGCATTCCATTTGCAAAAAATGCGTTTCATCTTCATGTATAACAGTCGCTAATCTTTACAGACAGATATTCGAATACATCGTTGCTTTACAGTTACTTATTTCTCACATACAGTTAACTCGCGTACTAATTTATTCATATCTGTATACAAATCGAATCAGGCAACGGAATAAGGAACACGTTCACAGTTCTTAAATTTGTTCTACATTCCGTTTTCGGTGGGTTATGACATACGTGATTTTCGTTGGAGGAGGATTCAGATATTTCATGTCCAGACTTCTAGCGTATTCAGTGGGCAATAATATACAAAGTGCATACATAGTAGATACCCGTCTGCAATCTAACCTTCCAAAACTACGAGATACACTGAAGTTTAAGGCAAACTGCCGGACGAAAGGCATATTGCATCTTTTGCTCAATTCTGGCCGTCTCTCACAGCTTGCTACCTTTATCGTTAAGCTTCAGGCTATAACTAGACAGACCCACATAAGTTTTTCTCTATCAAAACTGATTTCTTCAATAGCAAAAACAATTGTATGACGACTTCAATGACAATAATAAAATATTTTTGAGCTCAAGCAACACTAATGTCGCGGGTTATGTAGTTGAAGTATTCGCCATTAGTCAAGAACTAACCCTGCTAGTGGCTGGTCTGACTTTCTACTTCCCACACCTCTCGCAGGTAGGTATTGTAATCGCAAAAAATGAGGTACTATATTTTTGAATATTATATGACATCTATATCACGAAGAACCATTTCAATTTTTGCTTTCGGCCTGTCTGTTGATCTGTGTGTCCGCTAATACTTGGCCCGTCTATAACTTGGAGAGTACTGCTTCGATTTAGACATAAGGTTAGTACTACGCCAAGGACGGCAAGGTCCAATGGCGACAGAACTGGAGGCAAAAGAGGAATATAATTAAAATCGCTCAAATTTTGTTTTTTGACGTTTTAGAGACTGATGAGCATTTTCAGAAAAATATTTCTGGGGACTAAAAATTATATGTTGGGGATTTTAGAGGATTGAGAAGAGTATAACACAATTTTTTTTGTATATACATCATATACAGGGTGGCGCATCGAAAACGAAAGAGACGCATTTACTGGCAGCTCAGTTTTATTTTGAAAAACGCTCAGACCCGTCGATTTTGTTTTCGAGGGGGACACAAGTTTGGAAAAAAATCACGTTAGCACGTGCAGCCCCCTAAGCGGGGGTGACACCACCCCCAAAATCTTAAATGGAAAAGGAGGTCGAGTGATACCTTATTATAATGGTCTTTCAATTCCCTTTAAAGCTTAAATAAAACTAATGCATCATCATTAGTGGAGATCAATACATTTGGCAGCAAAGTAATTTAAAAATGAAGAATGAACTGACCCGTTAGGCAAGTAAATGTTGAAAATGGTCACCATGACTCTCCATGCAATAATAAAGATTTTGCTCAAAATATTTAATTTTTGTGGCTGCTGTGTATGAACCTCATGATAAATTCTGGGATTAGAATCGGACCAATATCGGCAGTTATGACGATTTACTACGGCATTTAAGAAAAAGGAACATTCGTCCGAAAAGCAAGTGTGGAATAGAAAATGTTCATCCTTTTATAATTCGTTCACTCATATCTTCACAAAATTGTAATCGCCGATCAAAATCGTCTTCATTAAGTTCTTGTACCAGGTGAATTTTATACCGATGAAAACTATGGGCCTTTAGAATCCGTTGGACAGTACGTAGACTAACACTACATACAGTCTAAAATTTGCGGGTACTTAACGTAGGATCTACATAAACTTGCCCTAAAGCCCCCACTCCTATTGCTTCGTTCCTTGTGGGATTTTCAATGTTGCGTTTTTTATTTGCGACTGACCCAGTTTCCCGAAATTTAGCTACAAGTTCTAGAACATGGTTAATTTATGTAATAAAGCGTTACAAGTTATTTTAGCAACAAAGTTTGGTCAAATCAATCGCAAAATAAGTACGAGATATTTCCTTATCTTTCTGCAAGAAATAACTTTTTGTCACAAAAAACGCTCCAACAGCTATTTTCAACAACAAAATGATAAACAAACCATGAGCGTAGTGAAGAAAAGCATTTACTTATTAAGTAAATTCTTTTAGTCAAATTTCTTCTGAAAGTAGTACAAACTAATCTGATGTACCTATTAAAGTCTAATTTAAGCTTTAAATCAATAAATCTTCAAAACTACTGAACTGAAGGTCATGTATTTTACATCATTATAAAGGGAATTGAAAGACCTTTAAAATAAGGTATCACTCGACCACCCTTTCCATTTGAGATTTTAGGGTTTGTGTCACCCCAGCCCAGGGGGCTGCACTTGTTGACGTGATTTTTTGCCAAACTTGTGTCCCCCTCGAAAACAAAATCGACGGGTCTAAGCGTTTTTTCAAAAAAAAAACTGAGCTGCCAGTAAATTCGTCTGTTTCGTTTTCGATGCGCCACCCTGAATGTACAAGACAACATTATTATTATTATTAATTTGGCATAAGTATCATACTGACTGGTGCTGACTGAGAAGTGACTAAAACATTATTTCCCTAACTTTCATTTGTGCGTTCTGTTGCATTCCGTTGGTTGCCTGTTCAGTCAGTAAAGTTGAAGATGACGTCACGATGCTGTCCTGGATATGGGATCAGGGATCATGTGCCAACATCATTTTGAACCTTTATTTTATATGTATTTCTTAAAATGGTACACTGGCAGGCTATCAAATGCTTTTTATACATTCGCTTAGGTATAACTGAACTAACCGCTATGGTGTAGAAGACTATCCGAATAGACAATAAAATATGATGCATCAGTTTTTTTTTCTTTTTAGAGTGGCTTTCAACTGCCTTATATCAAAATGGATCAAATTGATCAACCAGTAATTTCCCTATGTTTATGCTTAGTTTTATTTAGGCTCCTATGCCATTTCCTTCATACGATGTAACGGTGTTTAAAGCAATTACAAATGCAAGTAACAGCAAGCACATTATATTTCTGTCCCAAAAAAACTGCATCAGAAATAATAATGTCGTTCCAATATTTCACATACCACATAATTTTTCATAACCAACACAAAAAATTAATCGCTGAACCAATTCTCATACGTTCATTGTTGTATAATACAATACTGTCCAAATACTTCGAGGGATTTTACGCTCCGTTACTTGCACAACACATTCAATTTGTAACGCTTGTATCAAAAAAAAGTTACCGAACCTTGCAGTTGATTAATGTACAGCTTATTAATAGTGTACGTACATATATGTTTACATGCAGGAAAAATACGAGTGAACATTCTTTAGATTAGACCTTGTGGATTTAATATTCATAGTGTGTATTGCTGACTATTTCCCTCGTCTTAATTTCTACCAATTACAAACGCGCAATTTTGAATTACAAATGGTTTCTAGATGCAAAAATTGGATAACAGCACCTGTCAGCAGTTTTTTCGAGTTTACCCGCGGCAAAACTTGACAGCTGTTTTCACCATAAATTACAATACCTTTGATAACAAGTAATTATGGTCTCCTAGGACACCAGAAAACGACGCCAAACAATTTTTCTGATTTTATTGTCAATAAATTTTGTCATATTGCTTTTAAGCAGTGCTAGTCAGCTTATATAGTGAAAATGCATGTATTATAGGTAGTATGTTTTGTAAGCTATGTGTATGCAGAATAATCTGTATGTCCTATATACTTATGAAATAGTCTTGTCAGATACCATTGGGGCATCTAATTTTTTCCTGTAAAAAAAAATCGAGAAAATACAATGCAAAGTATTTTTTTAACAGAAAACATTCGTACAGGCTTCCACCAGCACTCATGCTACTTGTTAAAATATTACTTAGCAACGTGATTTTTCGATTATTTTCGGAAAAATTAGATGCCTTTACGATAATACTCATATGATAATTTCAATAGAGACAACAGATGTGCACAGCAGATACAGAATCGCATCACGCCGATTTGACATATGGGTCAGCTAAAATACAAGAATATGACCATAGTTATAGTTTACTGATTTTGGCGAAAGTGTTTTGGAACTTATTATTTAGTATCAAGTCTATTTTCATTTCTATGGTTATCTTTAGACATTATAATCCTTTGTTTCGAATATATAAAAAAACTAGCGTTTGCTCATATTTTAGCTCACTTGGAATTGGATACAAACGTTTTACATTCAGTTGGACAGAAAAAAAGGTCAAGCTTGCAAACCATCTCAGAAACTTACCTAGTTAATGTACTCGTAGATTCAGCATTGTTAAATATTTTGGCGTTATCTTTTTTTGGAACTTAGGCACCAGCTCCTTTCAGAACGAAGTGTTTTTTGTCTAATTAGTTCTAGCCAAAAAGCAATAAATCTCTACAGAAACTATATAGTGGGTGTTCTGAAAGTTGTGACCGTTTTCAGAGTCAACAACGTTTGCAATACCAAAGCTGATTTGGCAGAAAGACAACACCGAAAACGTAAAAAAAAAATGAATAACTATTTATTTGGTAACAAATTTCGGATACCCTGTCACATGTTTTGTTGGTAAACACGAGTATTTTTAGATATTCCTAAATTTGCAACATTTGGGGATGTCTAGGTCTTCCACTGTGTTCAACCTGACGCCTTTTGCATGACATGAAAAACATATGCAGAATCATCAAATGCGGTTTGTTTATGAACTAGGTTAACCTAGACACCATGCGACGCCTAATTTGGATACTGAGTCACATAATCTTAGTACATCATACGCTTTGACGTAGAAGATTGTGGGAGGGGGAAGGCGGCAGGTTCGTATTTATTGCTTTTTGGAACCTAATATCCCCGTTATGTCAAAGTTTTGATATGTATGTTACTGAAAAACATGCTTTTTATTGCCTGACCTATACGCTCTAAATTAAATTCCCAGCTTTGAGGTATAAATGTGAATGTATACCCCAGGAAAGCTATGGACATGATTTTATTCATGAACGAATATTCAGTTTTGCAATTAACTGTCGCAGCAACTACCAAAACATTCCACCATCAAGGAAGGCAGACGCTTTATTTTGCACTAACTGTTACCCGCGACTTCGTATAAATTAAAATTGTTACTAACATAGAACATTGTTTTCAAGTAATGCTATAGACTTCCGATCCCATTTTGTATCCTTGATGGCATCAGTAGATTTAGTTACTTTATTAGCGGCACCACCTACACGTTCCGCGGGTAAAACTGCGGCACAGAAAACTAGTACAACGTAATAGTTATAATAATATCATAATAATCATATTAGCAAATTTCCCCGGAATAATTGCCAAGTCTGGTATTATTGATGCAATCTGTTCAAGGGGCTATTTAAAACATGGACGCATAAAATGGGTACACCAATTTTTGTGAGAAAACTTTTTATTCGACAACAAAGAATGAGAAAACGTGTTTTTTGGGATTCAATCAAAAGTGTTAACAGGAACGAAAAAACGTTTTAAATAATTTTTTTAGGTATTTATGCGACCTTTAAGATGAGACTACACGTGAAAAGATCCGACGAATAGCAAAAATGTTATAACCAAAAAACGAGGCAAAATGCAGGTTTTGGCACTTGTTGGTAATGCGACGATAATTTCACGCAACTACTTGAAATTCTTCAAATCAGTAGGATTTATACTTCTAAATAACAACAAGATTAGAGTATAATCGAATAGTTTTTGAGAATTTCTAATTGTTTATCCTAAAACACCTGTTTTCCGGTCATCACTAGGTACTAGTTTATTGAGCAATATACCCGGTTCGTTCACAGAGCATATACATATAATAGCAAAATACACGAGTTTACCTTGCCGATATAACTCACAAACCATTCCGAAAAATAAATGTTATTTTGATGAGAAAAACAAAGGTTACGTTGTTTCTTCTAAGCAAATTCAAACCTTTCGTATTTGTGAGTAATTCAAGAAATGCGCTACGATATTCAAAAAAGTACGTTACTATACGCATTTCAAAACACAGCGGATTTGTCTATTATACTTCGAAGTTGAGTCATTTATTTTAACAGTGAGTAGATCTGATCAAAAGAAATGTTTTTTTCCTTTACCATTTTTCTGGTAAAATTAAAGTAACAAAGTTATAGCCCTTTGGAAGTTTGAGTACCGCCCTGCCTATTATATGCTCGTGTTTGGCGACAACGGATATAATCCGCCTGACCGGTTCATCGCATCGGAAACAAAAAAGCGAAAGAATTTGAAACGTTTATCACGATGTTTTTCGTCAGTCGATAACGCGTAAGTGAATAGTAGTGTGTTGTGTGGTTCAAACGAAATCAAAAATCGCACATGTTTACGAAAATGCTGAACTTGTGGACATGATTCTTATTTACGGGGGGGCAGTCTTTACAAAATGCTTCCGGATGCATCACGGATTTATGCGAATCGGTTTCCCAATCGAGTGCAACCAACCCCTCGTGCCTTTGTTAATGTAGTACAAAGGGCTCGTGAATCAGGTGACTTAAGACCTCACAGGTGAGGGCATGCTGCTCCAAGACCGCACGATCAAATACAGGTCCGCACTGAAATACTTGTCGGGAGGATACTTTATTAAACAAGGTAACATTTTTTTTTTATTTTTTTTTTATTTTTACACACATATTTTGGTTTATCTTCCTTCTACAATCATTATCTGAAAATTAATGACTCAACTTCAAAGTCACCCTGTATATATTTTTTTTGCATTACTCACAAATACAAAATGTTTGAATTTGTTTAAAAGAAACCCACTCTTTTTTGCTTAAAAATAACATTTTTCTTCCGGAATGGTGTGCGATTCATATCGGCAAGGTGAACTCGTGTATTTTGCTTTAAGATGTCCTTTGAGCCAACCCCGTATACTGCTGAATAAACTAGTACTGAAACAGGTGTTTTGGGATAAACAATTTGAAATTCTCAAGAACTACTTGACCAATCTACCTCAATTTTGTTGTGGTTATTGAGAAGTATGAGAAATTCAAGTATCTGCGAGAAGCTATCATCGCATTACCAACAAGTGCCAAAACTTGCAGCTTTCCTCGGTTTTCGGCCATAACTTTCTTGCTATTAGTCGGCTCTTTTCAGGTGTGGTCTGATTTTGTAGGTCTCATAAATATCTAAAAATCTTAAATGAAGCGTTTTTTCGTTCCTGTCAACACTTTCGATTAAATCCCAAAAACTACGTTTTCTCATTCTTTGTTGTCGAATAAAGAGTTTTACTACAAAAAATGAAAACAACTTGCTAGCAGGTTTAAATGAATAACAAAAAGACGCATTTTCTCATCCTCTGTTGTCGAATAAAAAATTTTTCCACAAAAATAGGTGTACCCATTTTGTGTCTGTGTTTTGAATACCCCCATGAATAACTAGCAGCAATAAAACCAGACTTTACAGTTATTTCGGAAACCAGCGGTATTTTAGTCTAACATAATTAGATATTATTGGAATTTCGCCATTAAAATACTAGCGCAGGCACAATAAGCGTATGGTTTCGCAATGACCTGCTGGAAAAGTCGTAATGCTTTTCCCTTGACGATACTCCTCAAATAAAAGTGAAACACGTTGCTTCTTCAATGTTTTATTGCAAAGCTTGTACCACAAATTGTACTATTGAGCCGCATGATTCCACTTGTTCCGGAGCTCAAGTTTCCAAAATCTTGCTAAACTCTCTTCTCAAAGAGCATCTATTATCAAAAATATTCAATTCAATCCATGAAGAGATTTATATTATACTTCACAAATAACTCCAAGACTAAAGTCACTGTATAAAAAGGCACATAAAAAATTGATCAGAGACACAAAAAGATCATTCTACCAAAACAAAATTGTATTGTCTGAAAATACCACCAAAGCGTGCTGGCAAGTGGTCAATGCAACTAAAAATGAGAAC